TTTCATGAGGTTTGACTGTCAATTGGCCACAGTTGACTTTTTCCCCAATACAGCTGATTTTTAGGTCAACTGTCCAATTGACTGGGTAAAACTTGGAATTAGGACTTGAAACTTGGTATGGGTAAACTTGGGAGTCCAATATGAAGCATGGAAGTCATATTAGGCATTTTAGGTCAAAACATCTTTAGGCAAACACAAACCCTAATTTGAGTCCACAGTGCAAGGAGAAGTCTTGAGCAGAGGAAACCCTAATTGGATCTTGATCTTCAAAGGTCTTGTGATGAGAAAAATGTTGAGGAAATGGGAGGGCAAATTTTGGGGTACAACAAGGAGCCTTCAGATCTTCTGTATCCAGAGGAAGAATCTGTCCTTCTGTATCTGGAAGAAGACTCGTTCGGATCAGATCTTCTGGGATTCCTGAACTTCTTTTGCCTCTGCTTCCACAGTTGATTCACTCTTCTGGAGAGGAGGGAGAGTTCGTCTTCTTCTGATGAGGATCCATCAGATGTTTCTTCAACTGCCTGCAAAACTTTAGACTCAGATTTTTTGTTAGATTTCAATGCTAAAGGCTTACCTTGCTTCTGAGGCTCGTCAGCTTCTAGCTCTATCTCATGACTTCTGAGGGAGCTGATAAGTTCCTCCAGAGTAATTTTGTTGAGATCTTTTGCTAGCTTCAGAGCTGTAACCATTGGTCTCCACTGCTTGGGTAAGCTTCTGATGATTTTCTTGACATGGTCAGCAGTAGAGTATCATTTGTCCAGAACCTTGAGACCAGCTACCAGAATCTGGAATCTTGAGAACATTGTTTCAATGGATTCAGATTCTTCCATTTTGAACGCCTCATACTTCTGAATGAGCGCCAGAGCTTTAGTTTCTTTGACCTGAACGTTGCCCTCATGCATCATTCTGAGTGAGTCAAAAATGTTCTTTGATGTGTCTCTGTTGGAGATCTTTTCATATTCAGTATAGGAGATGGCGCTGAGAAGGATAGTTCTGGCCTTGTGGTGATTCTTGAAGTCACGCTTTTGTTGGTCAGTCATTGTTTTTCTATCAATCTTCTGACCACTTACATTCATAGGGTGCGTGTATACATCTGTCACCATATCCCACAGATCAGCATTATGTGCCAGAAAGAAGCTTTCAATTCTGTCTTTCCAGTAATCAAAGTTTTCTCCATCAAAGACTGGAGGTTTGCCGCTGAATCTGTCTCTGTCCTCATGGTTGTCATTGCTGGTGTAAGAATAGTTTCCTGCCATTGTGTTTTTCTGACGCTGGATCTTGTACTGACACGGTTAAGTGTTTTAGCTCAGAACCAGGCGCTCTGATGCCAATTGAAGAAGTGAAAAACACAAGAAGGGGGGGGGGGTTGAATTGTAAAACTGAAACTTAATGCAATGAACAAGATATTTTTATCCTGGTTCGTTTGATCTCAAACTACTCCAGTCCACCCGTCAAGGTGATTTCGCCTCTCTCCAACGAGGTCTTAATCCACTATATTCAACTGAATATTACAATCTGCTTTAACAACTGCTAAAGCCTTCTTGATGAAAACCACAACCCAGTTTGTCAAGGAAACACTTTCTTACAAAGAAGATAAAACTAGGTGTGTGAATGTTTTCTACAAAACTGTATCACAACTGTGATGTTACACAACTTAAGCTTATGAAACTAGATTGTTAAACAATGATTGAGTAAGGAGATGTGTAGCGTTTAGCAAACTGAGAGAAGGGAGATTATGATTAGCTTTTAGGCGTGTAATATGTTGGAGAGCATTAGCCAATTCAATCTTCATAGTCTTGTTTATATAGCACTGAAATTATTGAACGTTGGAGCAATAAACTTGATTCAATGCCAATAACAAACTTTCCTTATTGAGCAGATCTTGTCTGGAATGATGTCGTTGGTAATAATACGCTTTCAATGCACAGTACCGTTGCTACTTAAGGCATGTTCTGTCTTGGCCTCATTCTGACTCTGCTTAACTGCTGATGAACTGTTGTTGTCTTGATCAGAGTGTTGAGCGCAGTTCTGTTCATCAAGCTTCAACATACGCGTGAGTTATTCTTCTGATTCTGGTATTCTGATATAGCATCTTCTGATGCTGATGTTAAGAACCAATATTCTGATGCTGATTCAGTGTGCTCTTGCTGATACCTATCAGAGTTTCTGCAAATCAGAAAGTAATATTTTAGGTAGCAAGTAGTTCTTACATGAATCACATAAATAATATATCATTTCATTTTGTTCTTCTGATTTTTGTATTGCTGTAATATTGGATTGTATTTTTATTTATTTGTTTTAGCCAAAATTTTCCAAAGGGGAGATTATTAATTCTCTATTTTTAGGATTGACATTAATTTTTATAAAACAAATAAGACAACAATATGTTAAGTAGGATGTACATAACTTGCTAACAGGATTAGGTTGAGTAAGAAGTTATATCCTATGTTTGGGACATATTGAGTTGAAGTGTTTCAACATCTGAAATATCGAATAAGATGTCCTACGAAGGAGCATACGATATTGTGCCTGAGCTGAAGTGGATCAGTTAAATCTATTATGATTTAACAAATGCAGAATATTCAGGGAATATTATACAATCTTAGGTGGAGCTGAAATCAAGGTCAAGAGAATCAAGTCAAAATATTTGAAGATTATACAGTTTCTAAATATGGAGATTATTTAGGAAACTAATGATTGAAGATCTTGTTTGTAGCAGAAGTTATTGTTGGTTCGTAACAGCTGATTTGTTGTTATTAGAAAACCCAAGTCCAGTTGAGAATTGGTTATAAATAGGACGGTTTGTAACCTAGTTTGACACGAGTCCAAGATGTAGAAGTCTAGGGCTTTGTCAAAGTGAACCACTCGGTTTGTGGGATGGTCGCCATATTCTCACTTAGAAACCTATAGGTAATGAGTTGAGTATTGTTCTTGGAGGAATCTTTGAAGTAACTCCAAGTTGTTGTTCTTGGTTAGGAGAAAGGTTGTAAACATGTAAGTTTAACATTAAGTCTTAGCTAGGTTTGGTCATGGAAGTGTGTCTTCCTGTTTGTTCTGAATAGTGTTGATCCAATCATTGTTTGTGATTGATGAGGGATTGAGGAGGGTCTCATATCTAGGTGAGTCTTAGATAGAAATCTAGCGAGGGTATTGATTAAGTGATAAATTGTAAACGAGGGAGTTTAGTTTTGAATTAATACTAGTGATAGTGGATTTGTTCCTGGCTTGATATGCCCCCAGAATAGGAATGTCGTTCCGAACTGGGTAAACAATGGTGTGTTATTATTGCTTTTCAGTACTATTTTTAATTTTATACCTTGCATGTGTTATTTGTGTCAGATCAGATGTCTTGACATCCTCTTAGAACATTTTGGTTCTGTCGTACCAGAATTTTAAGTAACTTGAGAAGTTTTGCTAGAAATGAGGAAGGAGGAAAGTCTAGCGCGTATTAGACTAAAAATTATCCAAAGATATACTTATGTATCTTTTACGAAGATGCGTCTCCATACTAATTTTTGAAAATAAATAAATGTGACTCACTAACGAAAATACATATCCATATTATATGAATATTTTTCATTTTTCATAAAAGTGTGAGTACCATTAAAAATAAGAATGCAATAGGCAATCCCCTAAAAAAGATAGATCAAGATCATTGCATCCCTTAAACATCTAAAGGTTTATTTTTAATCAAATACTCGTTTTGATCTTTTATTTTTACTTTTACTTTTCAATTTCTTCATATTATATAGTACAAGTACTATATATTTAAATTGTCAAAAAATATTATTGATTATAGATGAAAACATGACACATAATTTACAAGATATGTTAAGAAATATTTATGCTGTTCCTTTTTTTTCCTCACAAAAGAGTTTATGTTCTTTCTAATAAATACATAAAAATACTAAAGAGTGGCAACAAAAAAAATGAAAGTTGTTGGTAAAAAAAGGTTATGGATGAATTACATTATATGTAAACTTACTAGTAAAAATACACGGCCAATACGAATTTAGATATACAGAAAGATTTAAGTAAAAAAAAGAATAAAACAAGTTTGTAAAAAGAATCAAAACAAATATTTAATAATAAAAGGTAAAGGAATGTAAAATAAACTATATTTAAGCCACAATTTTAATACAAGTTTTAAAAGGAGCACTTTAATATACCGATACTATCTATGGCTACAGACTTCCCTTGACTAGTAAATCCTAAACAAGCACTCCTGTCAAAAAGCCTATGTTTATCGAAGAAAAATAGGAAGAAAAAAAAGAGGAAAAACAGACCAACAAACTGGGTGGCCTTGTCCTTTCAAGCTCAAATCCTTACATGTAGATAGGTTTTTTTAACCATGTCATTGGTGTTGATGAATAATATGCCGAGGAATCTCTGACTAACCACCTTTAGCTTGGTTTTTCTCTAAACCAGCACGAGGCATGAACTCGAGACCTTACTTATAAGGATTCATTCAAGCATCAACCAGTGAACACAATCAGGGTAAACTAATATAAAATAAAATAAAAAAATCATTTGAGCATTAACCAGTGAACACAATCAGGATGGCATCACCAATTGCACTCATAAATATACGCACAATATTCATAATCCGTCCTCAAACAGTCTTTCTATTATAGTTAAATTTTTTGCAATGTCCCAATAAATGTACACATCACATAATGTTACCGGGTTGCTTTGTCCATAACTAACATTTAACCAGCAACTGCCACTAGAGAAGGCAAGTCTTCCACAGCCAACCTGGGCAGCCAGCACAGGATCACTCAGTCGCACAAGATTCAGTTCCTAATTTGAAAATTGAAATACACACACACAGTTGCCCTATAAGCTTGGACATACTGTTCAACTACTTGCTGTACACATTGTTCTTGCAAATGCATGGGAATTGAAGTACTCTAACAGATGTTTTCGGCCAAATATATAAAGCCAAAACTAGCATTCAAACTCTACACGGCGGGCGGGTTTCAGTTTGCACGAACTTTATGTTATGGTAACATGGGGTCTCCAGACGATGCCAGCATTTGCAAGCCTGTTTCATCAGCTGTCCGTTTGGAAGCATAATCTTGCATGGACTCACCTGCAAGCTCAAGATAGGTTAGAAATTATTTTAAAAATTCAGTTTAACTTCAACAAGCACAAGCTCATTGAGAGTATAAAATGATGATGGTTTGCATGAAAATAACTGAGGACATGTTCCTATAACTACAGTATGCTACGACTAGATTCTCAATATGGATGAAATAAAAAGTTCTCACATTACTTACTCAATGACTGGCGAAGGCCTTCTTTTACAGCATCGAAGTTTTTGTAAGTATAACCAACAAAGTTTAGATCTTTGGGAGTTAGAAGCATCTGCAGGAATCAGATGTAAGTTAGAAAACAAAAAACACACCACTTTGCTAACTATAACAAAAAACTGTACGATAGATACATTGAAGCCAAAAAGACGAGTAAATTTCACTGAGTTATATGTAAAATGGATATTATATGATAAGAAATGGATGTTATATGTACTCCTCGTTCTCAACCAAAATAATTAAATAAATTTATAAGACTTCTGACTCTTGATATTTAGGTTTACCAATCAAACAGCAAAGCCCAAGGGCAAGACAAACTGAGAAGGTTCAACTGAATCAACTAGCAAAGTATTTTGTAGTGAATATATGGACCTGAGATAAAATTCTATCTACACCAGAGAGGGAATTAACCTCCTGTGATGTAACCAACATTAATGAACCAAAGATGTAAAAACAAAACATTGGGTAGAATCATTTTTCAATTTAAAACCAAAAGTGGAAATGAAGGAAAATTATTAAAAAATAACAAGAAGGCTTAACAACCATGCATTTGTCTTCATCAATAGTAAAAAGGGAAAGCAATTTAAAATAAATTGCTGTATTTTCCCAGCTTTAGGAAAAGTATAAATAAGCAATTCATAGGCTAGCGCAACATACATAAATATATAGTACAGGCACCTGAATAAATTTTTCCGTATATAAATATAAATTCTTTCATGATCACCTTTGAACCATATAAGTAAACAAAGTAAATTGAAAACAACCCATCTAATTTTGAAAAGGTTAAAAAAAATTAACTATTTAGCCATTTTAACCAATGGAAAGTAAATATATCTCAAGATGCAGGGAGGGCAGCTTGGTTAATAAATCTATTGAAACACAGTTGTCATTTTATAGTTTTAATATACAACATAAACATATAACAATAATAACAATCAAAGCCTTCTTCCATTAGATCGGATCAGGTGCATGAATCTAACAGCACAATCTTTAAAACTTGTTATCACTTATCAAATCTATGTTTTGAAGTATCACATCACAATACAACTGAACTGGCGATGATAAAACACACCACAATGTCAAACAACACTATCTAATTATGAATGTTGGTTATAGGAATAAAACAACACCATAACGTCTTACGAACAAACATTATAATTTGGGATAACTTTAAAACATTTGTGAAGCATTTCATAGTTAGAGATTTAAATGAAAATACTGATGAAGTGATGATGATATGCAAACCAATACAAGTGTACCTTTCTTGAAGATCCAGAGCCAGCTCTTGCTGCATCTGGTGGTTCTACCTACAAATTTTAAAAACAAAAGCAATGAGTGAGTCTTATGGCCAAGGTTTAACAGCTTATCACACAGCATAATCAAGGGACTTCATACTAAATAAAGAACACATCAATAAATACCATTAAAGTAGGAAGATTAAACTAGAAAAAATATTCAAGAATCTTACTGCCTACAGGATTGCTAATGCATAAAACCGTTGGTACAAAGAATATCAGACTACAATATATCATCAAAGCATAGCTTATAGAAATTACCCGAGGAAAAAGGTTGGGTGAAATCTTCATTTATTATATTGAAAACACAAAATGGGACACAAAGTAATAAAAATTACAAATATATAGCCCAAAAATATCTAGAAGGGTTATATATGTTTTTAGTCCGTATGAAATTATAGATCTTTCAAGTTTAGTCCTTATATTTTGACCATTTTTAGTCCCTACCTTTTATAAAAGCATGTGATTTTAGTCCCTGTAGAGAGCCTAAAACACCCATTTTTACTAAAGGTGTGACTAAAAACACCCATTTTTATAAAAGGCAGTGACTAAAAACTGGAAATAAAATATAGGGACTAATGGGTATTGTATAAGGACTATACATATTTTATGCGAAAATTATCAAGGGAAAACCATAATATCAAGAAAACTCTTACAGCAAAAGAATATATAAAATGGAAAAGAATCGGGTAGAAAAAAGATGGTGATTTATATTTATACCTCATCAAACTTCATGAAGTTTTGGGTATCCAGTTCCCCATTAACTTGTGGTTTAAATGCTGCATCCATTTCATATAGTTTATCCCAATCTACACCCTTGAACCATGGATGAGCCTGAAGTATATAGAATGTACATAAGTCGATGACAAAATAAAAGTCGCGATGTGGCCCTGATTTGAGTCTCCAAATATCCAATTTGTTTCCTATTTCTTACTCTAAATTTGCTATTTACTTCTTTCCTTTTTATCCTTTGTAATTAATAAGGGTGACATCAAATATGTCTCAATATCATTTCTGATATTTGATAAGATTCTAGGGTCAATTTTCTTTTATTTCTGCAGATTGGTTCCCTTGTTTAGAACAAATTCTGCTTCTATATTATGTTGTTGTATTTCATGGTATTATTCATCAAAGAATAAGAAATTTCCACTCTTGTTCTTTTAAAATTGAAAATAGACACACCACTACAGCAGAATGTAATAATAAGATGAACATCTTACCTTGATTTCTTGTGCCCCTCGAGTACCTAACCTATGATCAACATCACACATCAATCTGTAGATCAGATCCTTAGCCTCAAGTGTCAATTGAGGATCTTCTGGAAATCTTAAATGGGTTCTCCAATGAACAATCTAACAGCATGGTGAATTTAGTGTCAACAAAAAATAAAATCTGAACACTGACTTTAGGAAACATAACTAGAAGGGCTTCAAATAATATGGTTATGGATAACAAAGGCAATGACATTATGACAGTAGTCATAACTCACGAACGGCTTAAACTACAAATAAAAAAAGAGATGCAAGAATACTTCTTGATTATTTAAAGATGCTACCTTTCTGCATGTGGTTATTGGGTCATCAGAGTAAAATGGAGGGTAACCAACCAGCATTTCGTACATTATCGCTCCTAGTGACCACCTATCCATATGATATATTTACGTGTCAAATATAATAATACAAAAAGGGAGACAACAGAGTTTTTATAAAACTTACAAGTAAACTAAGAATTGAACAATTTTTTTCACAATAAAAATCAATTTTAAATGATCAGTCAAAAGTATTACTTCAGACTAAGCAGAACTGCAGCAGGCAAATTAAATTAAATAAACTTCAATGAATTGAACCCTCGTGACTGATAGATCAGAACGCCTAAAGCATAAGGTAAGAACTAACCAATCACATTCCATCCCATATCCTTTTTTCAAAAGTACTTCAGGAGCAATGTAATCTGGCGTCCCCACGGTTGAAAATGCCTTGCAACAAGAAACAAGGAACTATGTGAACTGAAAGGCCTTCTTATCTTAACAGCCATATTAGCATATAAACAAGTGCACCAGTAATTGTGTGATGATGCCACTGAGAAGCATTCATTGCGTGCAGTGGATACAAAAGAAGCTGTAATTTGGGACTATGGTTTTATACAAAATAGATTTGTAGTGTCGTACCCCAAGTTACACTATCATGTTCTATACCGTGCGCTATTATAAGAAGGCATATATGGATAGAATAACGTTTAATTTTTTTCAAATTTCCTACATTCGTAATAATATAAATGTTTGAACCCTTCAAAGAAGGACTGTTTTCCTTAAAGTACTCTTAATCATTTTGTAATCTCTCCCTCCTCAAAAGAAAGGTTTTAATCATACCTCTGTAAGGAATTGTATAGCAATATCTATTTAGGTTTGATTTATGTAGCAGAATGCAAATCCAGATCAAGAAACTAGACAGATACATGTTAATGAAAGCTCATACCATCTTATGAACATTTATTTTTGGGTTTAATTAGCAATTTATAGTAGCTTGCACTCAGAAAAGAGAGCTGGAAGAAAGCATTTGGGTACTGAAGCAAATTGAAATTTTCTTGGACTGATGAATTATGAAAGTTTAAGTATATGCTTAATTATGTTTAGAAACATGATTGACGACATTTTTTTTTTCAATCTCAACAATAATGTATCAGTAAATTTGCCAGCATACCAACTTCCTCCGGTTCATCTGCCAGTGCTGAAGCTGCTCACGCGGGCTTCTCCAGCTTTTCCGATTGTTCGCATCACAGCTATCGATATCCATTGGCTCAGCCAAAGTTTCATCATCCATGGTTTGATTTTCATGCAGTGTAGGCAAGGTAATGCAATCGATAGGCTTACAGAGGCCAAAATCAGAGAGCTTCATGTGACCATTTTTATCCAGAAGTAAGTTATCGGGTTTAATATCTCTGAAAGATGAAAAATCATGTAATTAGCACATTAAAATGGCCCATATAACCATCCAATAAATCATCATCAATGATTAAACAAATAAAGCCAACAGCTTCATAGGCACAGCCAAACTGAACCTGTGAATATAATTGTGTTTATGAATAGACTCTATGGCAAGAACACTTTGTGCCATGTAAAATCTAGCCACATTTTCACTTAAGGTGTCTTCCCTCATCAGCAGAGTCATAATGTCACCCCCGGGTAGATACTCCATAATTAAATACAAGTATTCAGTATCCTGAAATGAGTAGTAAAGTTTCACAATGAAATGATTGGCAACTTCGGCCAATAAGTTCCTCTCTGCTCTAACATGTTCCACCTGTAGGGACAAAAATGATCTCATGTAAGCAAAAGAGCAACTAAGCATTCTTCAAGACATCCAACAAAAAGATTGTCCGTCCTAGATGAAGACAGTATAGTTGTTAATGTGTCTAGAATAGATTGATTTCAGCCCTAACGTTAAACTTGAAAGTACTATAGTGCTAAATTTTGGGCCTATGATTTGCATCCACTAGTAACTTCTAAATTTCGTTCTATTCAGCGTTTTTCTATATATCTCACCTGGCCTCTCTTAAGCATTTCAGATTTCTTCAGCTTTTTCATGGCATAGATTTTTCCAGATTTCTTCTCACGACACAGTCTAACCTGTAATTGAATGAGTTGGCAGATAATAATATCAGAAATAACCTTTACATAGTAAGGCATGCAGAGATTTTCTATTTCCAAACAACCCAATAATTATTCAATGCATGTCCAACATGAATTATTTCATGCACAAAACAAGGAGGCGGGAGTCTGTTCTGACCTCCCCAAAAGCCCCTCTTCCAATGATGGTCAAGAGATCAAAATCATTAACACAAATTTTGTGCCTTTTCAATCGCATATATTCAGTTTCCTTTCTCTCTAAATCTTTGATGAGGTTGAGACGTTCTTCAGTTGGCACGTCTGAAGAAGCTAATTTTTTTTCCAAAATACAACGCCTACAATAAAAAAAAACAGTGAAGATCAGAATCTCAAAAGCCCAAGGTGATCAAAACATCTGCAGCAGACAAATGAAAATCACAAAGTGAAGAACATGTATTGGTTTGTCCTGGTCAAATTAGACCAAGCCATAATGTCTATTGAAACAAGGCGGTAGACAAGGTAGTCAAGCACGGGATCTTAAGTAGGATCGAACGGCCTGTAAAAGATCGTAAAACTAGGATCCTAGCATGACACTTAAGATCTTACCGAAGGGCAAAATGATAAATTCACATGGATAAAAACATGAAAATTATAATACATGAACAAGATAACCTATACATCACAACATTCAACTAATTTAATTAATAACTAATAACCATCATTCCCTAATTTAATAAGCTCAAAAGATCAAGTTCAAAATAAATAGCTCAAAAGATCAAGTTCAAAATAAGTAGCTCAAAATACATAAATATGGTTTTTACGACCCGGTTAAAAAGCCCAACAAAACAGGCCCAGCACTATGGTTTTTACGGTCTTACCTTAAAGATCTCGATCTTGACTACAAAAGCACACAAAAAAGTTTTTTGTAAGATCTTAGCACTAAAAGGCAATTTCAGATCGTAAGATCTTACGATCTTACGACCCAGCTCTCGCTATTGACTACATTGGCAGTAGATACTTCCTCCGGTCTTAAATAAGCCAAAATAAAAATGTATCTGGGGCAATTTGGACCGTGGCATTATGATTTTTGTTATATTTAAGATAGGAGGGAGCACCTTTTATGACCAAGTAAATAAATATTATGATCTCACCCTTTAATTGTTACAAAAGCATCAAGTTACACTGAGTAACTGAGATACCACCCAATGCAAGAAATGAAGGAGATGGCTACTTTTTTTTTCATTCATCACATACAGATAATTCTGAAGCAACTTTAAAAATTATTAACAGAGAAAGAGAAAGGAATGTTCAATCTATGGACTAAACATATCATTGTCTCTGGTAATGATTCTAAGTAAGCTTAGCCGTATTAATCCCTATTTATTACACATGTCTATATAAATGCATCAATGTTGTCATTCAATTTTAGTCTTCGTTCATTTAGTTCTTGCCATCAAATTAACAAATCTGGTGCTTGTGCAGCTGTTAGCTATATTTGACAATGGCATGATGGAAAGACACCCATGATAGAAATGAATAGAGTTACAAAACCAATCTCAGATAGAGGAACAGACGGAGCAGCCAACCCCAAAAAACAGTATAGTGGGTTAGCGGATAGTGAGATGGCTGCTATTCTGAAATTCTTTTACAGTTTATATAATGTACTCTACATACAAATTCTAAAATATGATAGAAGTTGTTCATAATTCACAGACAATAAAAACTCATAAGGACTTTAAGACTGAGAAAGTGAGGAGAAAAAGTAATGAATGACATAGATGTTCTGCTATGTTTTAACTTTTAAAGAAAAGAACGACACAAAGCCCTAATTTTCAACTTCCAATGTATTTAATGGCATCTCAGCAGGCACTCATGTGACAGCATGATAGCACCGCAATTCCTGCCAATTTTTTCTGCAACATCCCCTAAACTGAAACACTACAGCGGAGGGTGCAGTAGTAGTGTCATCCTCCGCTAAACTCCACTGCTATAATACGCGCTACTGATAACACTAGAAATGAAAAATGGAAACTAAAAGAAACAGGTTGTAAAATTATATGCATCAATTATAGTTTATCCTTTTAAGTAATGCATTTTATCCCGATCCATAATTTTTGTACAAAGTAACCCAACCCCGATACGGGCGGGTCAGGGTAATGAATTTATTAACAGATTTACTGTTCCACAAAAAAAATTTATCAGGTGTACTAATGTAGCATGTTATATATACACTCTGCAAGTTTTTAAGACAAAAACGAAGTAATTAAGTTCTCGACGACATTTACTAACTAAACTACAAATCACAAGCTTCTGTACTGTAAAAAGACCAAGTCAATCAAGTACAACTACAATTGCCTCATATATTTACTTCAACTCCATAATCACATATCCCAAATAGAGAAAGTGAAAAATCATTCATTAAAACCCACAGATTCATGCTAGGTTTAGCTAAATCCGGAAATCATGTCAGTTATCACTACAAAACCCCAATTACAACGATTTAGCAAGATTTTAGCGTAATTAAACAACGAGATCTACTTCAGAATTCGCATTTTGCTCAATTAAACCAGAATTCAAAAAACGAAAATCAAATCAAATCAAATAATTGATACCTCTCTTTCCGATCTTGAATATTCTTCATCTGTGCCCTATAATGATTCTCAATGAACTTCTTAGCAGCTGCTACTTTCTCCATAGTCAAGCTCGAACCAAGCACCTCTTCTTCTCCATTCTCTCCCTCCTCCAGATCCTCCATCTCTCTCTGTGAGTGTTGTTGTTGAGTGTGAGTGACTGATAGAGAGAGAGAATAATGCGTAACTCCAACTCAGAGTGTACTGTGTATCTATATATATGTGTCAATAAATATCTATATAAATCTAACCTGTCTGATTCTTCTCATGCTTTTTCTCTCTCTAAGTTTCTCTCTCTAAAAAAACACCCTGGACTGGACTGTATCACAAATTCACATTCCATCATGCATAATCTAAAGCCACGTGGCACAATCTCTAATTTACAGAATCTAGCACTATAGAACACGGAAGTATAGCGTGCGTGGTGATGCAGGGGAACATTTTCATTGGAAAATGTAATTTCGGAGTTTAGAGTAACGCGCTTGAAAACGCGAGTGAGAAACACATTGCGTTGTGGTAGGAGAAAGCATCGCTGTCATATTCATAAATGAGTATTTACGCATTTTTAGCTAGTATATGGAAACAACGAGGGATGGCCCACAGTTTTATGGATTTGATAGGTTCGTGACTCTCACGTGCTTTGGTTGTCTCCGAGTCCGTTGGCGTTGTATTCAGCTCCAATGCTTTGTGTTTGGGTGTAGTACGTTGATCGCCGTATACATGTTTTTTTTTATCTCTGGATCTGAGCTGTCCCACTATTATTATTCATTTTAAATTGACAAAATATACTTGTATTATTAGGAAACAGTTAAAGTTATTTTATTTTAATGATAAAATAGGATTTATCTATTGTTTTTTTAATGGAATAAGATTTATAAGATTTATTTATTGAAATATACTTTATCAGGCCTTTTTTATACATCAAATTTATTTACCTAAATCTCTTTTATAGAAAAGATTAGAGAAAGTATTTTTCTTTTCAAACTTCATTAATAAAAGTTTTTTATAAATTAATTCTTACTTTTTTTTCAAACAAAATTATTCATATTTTTTAAATTGTGTGAAATTGACGTAGTACTATATAATTTGCATTATTAGGAAACAGTTAAAGTTATTTTAATGATAAAATAAGATTTATCTATTGTTTTATAAATGGAATCAGATTTCTTTATATTTTATCTGATTTTTTTATAAAAGAAATACATATAAAAATATAAAAATGGTTGTATTTGGTCTATACTTTTAACTAAATTCATCAAATTTTTATCCATATATCTCTTATAAAAATATTAGAGGTAGTATTTATTAATTATAATTACAAAATAAAAGTTAGGTAAAATATCTATTTTAGTCCTTTAATTATATTTATAAATTTATTTTAGTCTCTTAATTTATTTTCGTGTCAAATTAGCTCTTAAACTTTTTAATAGATGTATATGAGTCTCTTCTGTCTACTCCGTTAATTAAAACCCGTTAAAAATCTACGTGACAATAAAAAATAAATTTGATCAACTTTTATGACTATTAAAACTCCCACACTAAAATTTATTTCTAGATTTTCTTGGTGTTCATCTTCGTCCCTCAAACTCTTTTAACCACATTTTCCAACCCCACAAACTCAACAAAACAAATGCAAGTTAATATTTCAATTGAACAACAAAATTAAAACAAATTCATCACCAATTCAACAATCACATGCAAAATAACACACCAAATTCCCCAAAAAAAACCTTTTTCCAAGGGTACCAGAACCTATCTTAACAGTAGTACGCTTTTGGGTTGTGTAGTGAGTAACACACTGAGCAGCAACATCATCAGCACCTCAAATAAATCCAAAGCTAAATAACCTACATTTTAACAGGATGAACAACCAAACACTTTTGGTACCATCTCCATAACTTCAACATATTCAAAAATATTCAAAACAAGTAATTCAAAAAATTGGGTATTTTTTGTTCTTGATCATGGAAAATAACAAAACCCCTTTTTCTTGATTTACTCAAAAGAGCATAAATTCGATGCCGAAGGAGATAAAAATTGAAACTTATTTTTTAGGAATGGTGCTTTGGTTTTCCTCTATTGATTTGAATTTCTACTCGAAATTGGTTTTGAGGAATTCGTTTAGTTTCGTTCGATCAAAGACATTGAGAAAACAAGAAGGGTAAGAAATTGGGTCAGAGAGGTGAAGATGAAGAATCTTGTTCATCTTTTTCCTAAAATTTGGATTTTAATTATTTCTGAGTTAATGGGTATGTAGTTAAAATTTTGAGAAAGAAGATGAAGAACGATAATTAAAATTCAGAAATAGATTTTAGTATCAATTTTTTCAATGCTAACTTTGTCTCTGTCATGTAAATTTTTATTAGACTTTGACAAGAGAGTACAAAGAAAAGACTCATATGCATATATTAAAAAGTTAAAAGACTAATTTGATAAGGAAAAAATTAAGGGAGCAAATTGAACTTAGAAATATAGTTAAGGGATAAAAATATGTATTTTGCCTAAAAGTTATAAGTTATTTGATAAATCCAATAAAATTTTAATGTTTATTTTTATTCATTTCCTCTTTATTATTTATTTATTTATCTTTTAATTTTTCTTTTCAAACTTCATTAATAAAAAATATTTTTATAAATTATTTTATATTTTTTTCAAACAAAATTAATCATATTTTTTAAGTTGTGTGAAATTTACATAATATTATATAATTTGAAATGAAGATAATAATAAATAGCATATATTATGGATAAAAATAATTAGCAATAACACATAAACATTGGAAATGAAACATTTAAAAGAAAAGTATTTCATTCTTTTTCTTTTTCTAAATTCTAAATGTCATCTCACATTTAAGTATAGACATAAATCATATCAACTAACAACGGCCTACAACATAACTTTTATATATATATATATATATATATATATATATATATATATATATATATATATATATATATATATATATATATATATATATATATATATATATATATATATATATATATATATATATATATATATATATATATATATATATATATATATATATATATATATATATATATATATATATATATATATATATATATATATATATATATATATATATATATATATATATATATATATATATATATATATATATATATATACTAGACTTTTTTTAGATAGAAAAAACCTAAGTTTTTTTAGAAGCGAGAATTGTTCATTACACCCGTGAGTTACTCACACACCCTTGTAAAATTTCAAAAATACCCTTAAAATTCTTATTTCAAAATTTGGACACACTAAATATACAACAGACTCTCTCAAAAACACGTCAAATTGAAGGCAAACAAGGTCTAGATTTTGAACTTCAGATTAACAACTTACAAATATTGAAATTCGGACGTACCTCATCACACCACACCAAACCCAATCTCTGAATCACGCAAAATGAAAGTTAAATGGTTTGTTCAGATTTCAAAATCTTGTTGCACCTCATTTAAAGTATTTGTGCTTTAAGTTTTCTCTCTTCCTTCCATTTTATTTCTTCAAAGTTACACACAAGTGAAAACTGAGGTTACCCATGCCTAATCCTATTCCAATATTTTTCAATATCTCTCATTATTTCTACTCCACTATATTCAAGCTTATCATATCTCTCAACTTCTACTCCTTCGGGAAGTCACTTCTTAGATGGTCAGGCTACATGAAATCTTAGTATAGGCACGACATGTGTTACATTATAGGAGGAAGAGTATGAACAAAAGTGTTATATATGTATCCAGTAGTGATATTTTAATTTGTATTTTGATATTAACATTTTAAAAATTTGTTTGCTTTGTTATATTTTACGAACGATTGATGTATGATTTACCAACATTTTATTTAGCTTATAGTATATGGTTTAATGTTATGACTAATGTGTATGGTTTCGCGTGGGAATGATTTATAAATGAATTTTTGTTTGATTCAATGAATGACTTATAATGTATCGTTTAATCCAATGAAAATTTCTTCTAAGTTATTGTCAATGGGTTGGTCCGGAGATTGAAATTTGGATTTCCATACGGTATATGCAGAGATTGAAATTCGAACATATTTTGGCAAAAATAGTGTGCCTCTATGATGAAGTGATTCTTTGTATAACAAGTACGTCCAAATTTCAATATTCAGACAATGAGTAAGGACAATTTTAAATTTTCATAGGGTGTGCAATCACTACATGAGGTGTAGTGAACACCACACTTTAGTTAAAAAGTATATGTTTTAAGTTATATAAAAAACCTTTTAAATTTATCAGACTTGTCTATTTAAGTAAATATAATAATTTTATTATTATATTGTATTTTGTACTTTAATTAAAATACAAAATTAAAACTTAGTTATCTCAGAGAACTTCTATAAATTAACTAAAAATACCTTATAAACAATGTCATAAGTTTTTTTATATAAATTCTCTTAAACAAACAGTGTCACAAAATTTATACTAAAGGCAAGCTCAAATAAGTCGATATAAACAAATTTTTAGTCTCATTGATCTTAAGTTTATTAGTCTATTTAAAAATTATTTGAATCACTTATTTACATATCTCTAAATGAAATAGACTTTTAAGTAGGTTAACAGACCAACCCGGTCTTCAAAAAGAACAAACGCATACCTAAAAGTAAGCTTATGACAGATTACAGGTTATAATTAGACTTTAGTTTTTTGACAAGTCAGGTTTAGACTTGACAAAATCTAACTCATCCTAGCCTATTTTCACCCATTACTCATAATATGTGTTTCATTTAAAGTCTAAATTATTATTATTAAATAATTAATTATGATAATTTTAATAATAACATAAACTTCATTTACTAAAATACTTTTGTTAGTGGCAAAGTGTAATATTCGTTACTCATACATTTAGAATTATAACTAGTGGTATTGATAATTGGTATTGGATATATAAATGTCTAGAAATGGGCCATATTAAAATTTTCAACGATGCCACCAAGACTACATATACATCTTCAATTAGACCAAATCTTCGGCATAAAAGAAATATGCTTCATCAATTCCTCAGTGCCAAGTCCACGACTGTGAGTCCAATTTAAATACCTGCATACTAAAAAAATAATGCAATATCGTGAGATG